TTTGAAAATATATCTGGAAATACTAGGGATGCCTAAATTCTAATGCTTGGTTTTGTGTTTAAGAGAGTATTTGATAAGGAAATTTATGGGCTTTTTATTTCTTTCATGACTTTCAAACTAGACAGGTTCATTGATGACGTGTGATAAGAAGAAGGATATCATTAGCTATTTTTCCACATACTGTAAAAATCTGTGTACCATGTAAAAACCCATTCCCTTCCTCAAAAAGAATGGACAATGAAGTCACAATATTGTTCCCAAGAGCTCTCCTCATTCTTGGCTGTTTTTAGAGTTTCTGTTGTAACATTGTTCAGCCTTTGCCCTAGACAAGAAAGCACTTTAATTCCCACTGTAATTAAGTACAGTGACATGCTACTTGCTGAACAAACAGGCAAACTTCCTTATTTTTTTCAGAATGATTAGCATATTGGTGGAACTTCTCAGGACTAAGTGCCTTCCTGTTTTAATAGATGAAGTAAGACCATCTGGAGATCATTCCTTTCTCTGTCTTGGATATATTGTCTTGTTCAGTTACTTGACATTGGATTATGTGACAAAGAAATGGCTCAGTGATATAGGAAGTCTCCCTTTCCAAGTTCATCATAAAAATGCTTAGATAATAGAAGAGTTGAGCATTCTTTGGAAAGGTCTGTAAAATCACTACTTGATAGTCATTATTGCTTGTACAGTACTTGCATGGACTTTAGGAGCTTTAAACTACACAACTATGCAGTAAAAGTCCTAAATATACCCACTGTTTAATAGTGTCTTTACAAGGACCTATATAATGTTCATAAAAGCCGTTCGATCTCTTCATATTTCCTGTACCTCTTCACTATCAGACTGCCAACCTACAATAATTGTCTCTATAACATATTTACTAATCTGTCCTCTAATGAATAGACCTTAAGAGATGGTCTAGATTTTGCGGTGGCATGCGTTCTCAGTAGCTAAATGACATAGTACAGCCTGCAGTACTGACCAGATGCAACGCTGTGAAGGCACAATTCAGTTTGCAGCAACGGAAGTCTGAGTTATGGCTGTATGTGGAAAAGAACAGACTCAGAGAATGGTTAGAAAATGTCAGAGCCATGCCCATAAAGAGACCCATGTAACAAATGATGAAGAAGAAAATAACAAAAGGTTAAAAGCTGAATCGTAAGATGCCTTCCTTATTTCTGAAAGAGGTCCATTGGGCCATGTGAATAACTACTTGTTTAAAATATTATTAATTAGGAATATTAGGGACTTCTGTTTTATACTAGTTTTGCATAATTTCTAAAAGCATTCTAGTCTGTTTCTTCAGCACTAGATGCATTATTTAGCCCTTGGATATCAGATTTGGAGATCTAATCACACAATGGTAACTTGCATGCAGACATTTGTATTTTCATAGCAGGTTAACTGCTCATGGCAATGAGTGTTAGCACATAAACTTTCTGTACTCCAGAAACAACTGTTTACATTTGGGACTGAAAATGTAGGCAATAGTACTAAATTATTACTAATTTCTTAAAGAATAAATTTTCATGTCTTTCAAATATTTCTTTGAAATAATAAGCTGTTTTAGAGATATGAGGACAAACAGTACCTTAAAATCAATAGAGTAACACCTCGGTTAGCTTTGTCTGCACAAAAGACAAGTCAGAAGTAACAGCATTTTTGGGATCAAGGATATCACATAACTTCAACTCTTAAAATATCATCATATGTTGGGGTTTTTTTATTCTTACTGTATGTCTTCTATAAACAAATGCCTTAAGGAGGAAGCTTGTAACACTGACTGAGACATCCATGTCCATCTTTCCATGAGGGGAAAGAAGAGGAAGATAATGTTTCTTCCAGTCCAGGAAATACACTGTTGTAGCCTCCTCTGTCTTAGGGGTCTCTCTGGGAATGCTGAACCAACTGTGTCTATCTGTAGGCTTTCTGTCCTTTCCTAAATTTGAAGATGGCAGACTGTGTCAAAACCTACTTAAAAACTCTGTCCTCTCTCCTCAGTAAAACCTCTTGCTTCCAAGGTGATTTATTTTATGTAAGTAGTACTAAATTGTCAAAGTGGATAGACTTAGAGGGCAGTTAAACAAGTTGTAATTCTCTCTCTGAAAGTTAAAAATCATTGTCTTTTATACCTGAATTCAGTTGATTAATTTACTTTTTAAAGAGGGAAGGGTGTTGTATTACTAAGTTTTAATTACGTAGTACCTCTCAGCTCTGATAACACAATATATACAATGCCTGTTCTGACTACATATGTGTAGGTAATTTAATTATCATGTTTATCCAGGTTGGATTCTTCTATTTTATTTCAGTGATACCTAGTTCCTTTTAATTTTGAATCAGTTTCATTTGTCAATAACTGAAATGTAGCTTTAATTTGGCAAATGCAAAGAACAAACCATACAAGAATGTTAAACAATGTTCATTTGAAAATAATAACATTTTGTTCAGATTTACAGATGCTTTTATGCACCATGCTGTTTTAAAATATACTTTTCTGTAAATGTGCCCTCATTTGAAAAATAACATTTTGTTCAGATTTACAGATGCTTTTATGCACCATGCTGTTTTAAAATATACTCTTCTGTAAATGTGCCACAGCAGCAGTGTTTTGGACCGGTTGGTCTCTATGTGTCTGTATCTGTGGCTGAAATTTTGGCCAGTCACCATGTTTTGAGAAAAAGGCCATAGCCAATTTATTTTTTATGTCTCTCTGAAAATTTAATCAGAATACTTTTAAACTACAATATTAGACTATTGGCACAAGATTCCAGATACTTTATATATTATCCAGAAATGCTTGAAAAAAATTCAAACATAAGCAGATACTGGATAGATAGATATATCTGTTTGATAATTGTATAGTAAACGTGTATTTTGCTATTTACCTCACAGATGTGGATATAGTTATACATCTAATTTCTTTGTGTAACTATTTCCATTGGATATGTAAATACAGTAACTGTAGGCACAAATTACCATAATTGGCCATTTTATGTGCAATTATCTGATTTTCATACTTAACTGTGGTAATTGTACACAAAATTAGACTGCAATTGCCTGTTCATCTAAGCAGTTCTGTCCATGAAATATTGAAAATCTAAAAATAAATTCTAATAAACTATGCTTGTGATTTGTGGGTATACCACTGTACATAAAAAAATTGCTTTGCCCAGTCCTGGATAAAGGATACATTAGAAGTCACTAGAGCACAAAAAGCATATCACAGGTAGTTGATAGATCACTGCAGCCATGTAGTATTGTGATAGTACATATTTTAACCTGAATTTATGGTCTATGTAATAGAGAAAGACCACGTGGTGGTCTGAACAATATACTTATTAGTCATCAAGCCATGTCTGCCAATGGAAACTTCTTACTTTCTACCTGGCTCTTCCTACTTTCCAGCTTCTGTCTTGCAGTTTAGCAGGAAACACATTCCAGTCTCTGGGATCTTGTGTGGTGTTGCAGACACCTGAAGAGTTTATCGGCAACATTAATTTATCTGAATGTATTGATCTGTCTCTTCTGTCTCCCAGGTTCATCTGAGTTGTTTTAAATTACAAGATGGGATGAAAATGACAACAATGTTTTTAAAACCACAAACCTAAGATTTAAGTTCTTGATTATAGAATTAGAAACACTGTTACCAAAAAGGAAAAAAAAGCTTTCCCCATTTCCACCTTTCTAGATATTACTGTGCAACATGGATTTTCTTATCCTAGCTAGCTTTTGAGTAAGAGGCCAAAGCCTCATTTCTCTGATTCTCTCACCCTTTCTGTCTTTCAAAAGACAAATCTTCTTTTCTATTTTCAGTTCTCTGTCCCCAGAACTTTCTTCAGTTGTTTCCTTGAGAAATACAGCCTACGCATTCAGATTTATCTCTTCTCCTTTCTTTAGAATTACATTTCTACCCTTCTCTAGTATCTTCTCTGAATTAACAGTAATTTTTTATTACTCTATATGACACATTACCTTATTAGCTTTCTACTTTTACAACATTTTCAAAACTCACAAAATTCTATAAATCATATATCAGAAGAGGCATTCAATGTACATACTTTAAAAATTTATAGTGTCTAGTCTATTTTAAGGCTTCATAGAGACTACATAAGATATAGTAGTAATAGAGATGGCATATAGAATTCAGAGAGCTCTGTAAATTTTCCTTCCTCTCTGCCTGAAGTTATTTGTCTGTTTGGGTTTGCAAGTATACAGGCAGAACTGGAAGAAAACAATTAAAGAAGATACTGCTTATTCTCAGTTTTTATTTATTATTAAGATTATTAAATAGTGTTTGGGGAAAGACTTGGGGGGCATTGCTTTATAAAGCAAAAACTTATTTAATCCACAGCATACAAATACTCATATGCCTTAAAATGCACACGTACATCTCCCTGGAGCCCTGGAAAGACTAGCTACTTACGTGATATGATAAGTCTTTCTAATACCTACAGTTGCTATTTTGCCTTCTTCCAAGCTTTGATTGTTGTCTTGATAGTAACTTTTATAGTGATACATGAAACTAGCCTTGTGCCTGATACATTTTCATTACACAGTTTGTAATTTCACTACTCTAATAACAAACTGCTATGATTTAAAACCAGTTATACTGAGAAGAGAGACTTAAGGTAAATGTCAGAGTATTTCCAAGAGAAGGACTCAACTATGATTTCAGAAACAGTTGAATCAAGAAGGGTTACATATTTTGGCATATCATGAGCAACAAGGTTTTTTGGGGCATGTTGTTAAAAATGGATTTGGAACAATGTGGATACATAGGGACCTGATCTGCTTGAGAGCCACAAAGCTGAAGTATTAATGTATTATTAGTAAAATTTTAGTGGAGTCATTCTGAAGCATTTAACATATATTACCATACATTATATTGTAAACCCTGCCTGTGTAGTGATCTCATGGAGGGAGTTTATAGAAGCTGAGCAGTTCTATTATGTGATTAAACATGCATTTCTGAAGCTTTTGGTTTTTTTTTTTAACAGAACAATGAAAATGAAACAGCACTGCATTGTGCGGCTCAATATGGTCATTCAGAAGTAGTTGCTGTTCTGTTAGAAGAGCTAACAGACCCTACAATAAGGAACAACAAACTAGAAACACCTCTGGATCTGGCAGCACTTTATGGACGTCTGCGTGTTGTAAAAATGATCATCAAAGCATATCCAAACCTGATGAACTGTAATACAAGAAAACACACTCCTTTGCATCTTGCTGCACGTAATGGCCACAAAGCTGTTGTACAGGTGCTTCTGGAGGCTGGAATGGATGTCAGCTGCCAAGTTAGTGTGTAATTTCTTTCTTCCCTTCTTCCTTTCCTCCTTTCTTCCTTTCTTTCCTTACTTTCTTTTATCATTAGAATATGATTCAAATGAAATAACTTCTTACATTTTTTCTTTTAAAATACACTTGCATTTACTTTGTTAGAAATGCTGCAAGGTGATATATAATACAGATTTATTTTTTATGACCCAAATGATGTGTTCAAAGGGATAACTCAAGAAAGATACGTGTCTTCAAAGCTGAGCGTATATTTTAATCTTGTCTTGAGACATGTAGGTACACAAATCATATCAACCATTCATGGAGGTGTATATATATTTTCTTTTAACAACATTGGCTTTAATGATACTAAGCTGACTTGCTAAAGCTATGGCCCTTAATGGTCATAGCAATCTGAAACAATGTTTGACTGAGAACTCATTTTCTCAGGGTTATCTCATTTTAAACCCAAAGTTACTAAGTAATAATAATCTTGATTTTCTGCTTTTCTAAACACTTGTTGTATAAATCTAAAAGAAAACTCTATAGCAATACACTCTTGCAGCTACTGACTCTAACCTGTTAGCTGTTTGGTGCATCTAGTTCTATGCACGTTAAATTATAATGGTGTAAAAAGGGTAACTTTAAATAAAAGAGACATAGATGGGGACAGATACAAGATACAGCAGCAGTAAGTTTTATGTCCAATTCTTTGTAGTGGAAAGTGTCCAAGCCTTTTAATTACAGATGACCTGATTCTATTATGTGTGAAGTCTGGCCTCAGTCTTATGATTTCTCTTGATTTGATTGATGGCACTGTATTTGAGTTTAAAGTGTATTTTATCTTCAGATTTCAAGTAGCCTTCTTGCTGTCTGAGTATATATAATATGCTTCAAATTAAGGTTGTTTCAGCTTTATATCTATTTTCAGATAAACCAACCAAACAAACATAATTACATCTATTTTAGAGTCACATCCAGGCATTCTTACCAATAGGTGATTTAATAAATTGTGTGAACTTTGCCTAAACTTTGACTAAGTTTTAGGTGCATTTAATCAAACACCTTTGTACACGTAATTCCCTTTTATATAGAAAGATTGCACCTGGGTTCCATGCACTTTTGTTATTTCTGGATTCTTCCATCAAGGTCATGTTTTTCAACTTTTGAGGAAAAGAATGTGAAATGAGAAAGAAAAGATACATTAAAAAAACCCAACAAAGCAAACCAGAAAATATTAACATATTTTAAGATTAAAAATGGATATTCTCAAATGCCTTCAAAATGAAAATGTGGTAAAATTGTTTCGCTACTTTTATTAGCTCTATTTTCTTTTGAGTTAGCATTATTACTTGCTTCAAACTATTTCAAACTTTTTTCCTGTGGTTTGCTTACTTGTGTATTTGCCTACCATTATGCTTCCAATTTAATTTGCTTTTGATTTTCTTTACTAGAAAGTGATACACTTGCAAAGGTTAATGCAAACAGCTCTTTTGTTTCAGCTGTCCTTTACTATTACTACATCTTCAGTAATTTAGAAAAGTTTAATACTAAAGCAACACATAACAGAATCCTCAAATACATGTTTCTGAATGTATAATTTCTCATCCATCTCTAGCAAACAATGAGGAAAAAGTCAGAAAGAAACTGAACTGATGCCTGAATTGATGCTTAAGAAATAGAATAATTGAAGAAAAATAGTCTCTGTCATGGCAACTTACAAACTGATGGTTACATGAGGGTTGAATATTACACAATGCGTTTATGAAATGTGTTCTTCCTCTTATGTAATCTGGATAATTTTAGCACTACTGTGAATTCTCTTAAGCCATTTCTATCTATAGTTATACCAAAAGTTTTTCGCTGGTCTTTAAAAAATACAGTGGCTGCAAATTTTGTAGAATCTTCTTTTAAGAAATGAGAGATTCTTTTCATAATATTTTCTCGCCGGTATACATATTCTCCATCAATATGTTCCTTTTCATTCAGCATCTTAGCATATTGGCAAGTTGGCTCTGTACATATTGTTAACTTATTACTTCTATAACCTCTGAAAAATTCTTTGCTGATGATTACTGGCAGCTTATTAAACTGAGCAGAGCATACAGTATCAGCCTGTTACTTAAAACTGAACTCAGCTTTTTTAATATTAATTAAATTGCTCTGCATCACTGATTGGGAAAGAACAATATACAAAGTATAATCCCATCTGGTAAATAAAAATTGTACACATTCATACATGTTAAATAAATTCAGCTTATCAGCAGTAAAGAGCTCTCAGAATTTGGAGAGACAATTATAGAAGTAGCCTATCTGCTATCACTCTGTAATTGTAAATATTTATTTGTTTAAATGGGAAGTTTACTTTAGCCATGTTATCTTTCTCTTCTGTACTCCCTGAGCACTTTTAATCATAGCAAATATTTGGACTAATAATAGACAGCATTTAATTTTTGATTGGATTAATCACACATTTTATTCATTTCCCAGGTCTATTCAATATCCTTCAATCTGAAATTATTTAGAAGTGGGCAATACAAATCTGCTTCATCTCTTTATGCTTTGAAGTTTTCATTTAAATTGAAACATATGAAAAATACACAGGTTTTGGGTGAGTGATAGATTTTGGGCCCTCAGTAAAATAAGATACTGCACAGTTCAGTGTGTTTCATGTAAAAAGGAATTTTATAATTGTACATACCTTAAAAACTTGGCCCCTTCGACTTATCCAACTTTTATATACCACTATTTGCCTTCCCTGTCTGTTCCAGTAATGATGGCAATTTCCATTGCTTATCACTGTAGTTCTTCTGCAAAGAGCTATGCCCTTTTCTTTTTGCTGTCACTATGTGTGGAAGATATTCCATGAATCAATTTGCAAAGCTACCATTCCATCCTTCAGATTATGTCAGAAATCCATACCAAAACTATAGTAAACTGCCTATGAATGAGGACTAGACAAGTGACCTAAATACAAGCTCTGGCATATTTACATGGTTAAAAAAAATCTCTCATCAATAAAACCCTTGATGCTTTTATGTGAGCCTGCAAATTGTACGCCAAGTTGATTTGTGTATCCTGGTGTTCCTACTGACCATGTCCTTCTATCCTTGCTTGCTTTGTGTGTCCAGCTGTGACATTGTACCTGCATTTAGCTGTAAGCTACTTGAGGCAGGGACTGTTTTATTATTTGCTAGGCATAATTTGTGCTATCGTTCTCTATATTTGATATACAGAAAACTTATGTGAGGGAATCAATATAAAATCCATTGATGCAAACTCAAGCAGACTTTAGCTCACTGTGTTCATGAAAAAATACCAGCATTTTTTGCATTAAATATCACCGGGGAAGAATTTCCAAATATAATGGTAGTGTTCACTTTGCCAGGAAAATATGATCCAAGGCAATGAAAGCTTCAGGAAGTAAAGGAGTAAATATTGTCTACAAATCTTAAGTTTGCTTGTTGTAGTATAGACAACAAGATTATATTAGTGCATGGGTATACCATTACAAGTGAAAAAGATCTACCTAAAAACTCTAGCACATCTTACATGATATATAGAAATTAATTGCAACTACATTTTTTAATCCTTCCAATTTCTTTAACATGCTCGATTGCATCAGAAAAAAAACCCCAACATTATTTCTATCTTCAAGTAGTAGTCCACATGTACATTTACAAAGAGATATACATCTTTTCAGCCAGTCCTCTGAGTTTCTCTTGGACCTGTTCATCCTGAGGCTCAGCATTTTCCCTATGTTAAAATGGAGTTTGGTAACTGACCTCTGGTAACAAGGACATTTCTGCCTTCTGGACAGTTTTTGAGTCGAGGGATCTAATTCACTTGTTAGTTATTCACTATTACCATGAAACCCTGCCTAGAGCTTTTAAGATTTACGTCAGCATTCCTCTTCATGACATCTCATGCAGGATTACACATCTGCATCTTACAAGTGTGCTTTCAATCTCCATATTCCCAGACTGATTTTCTTTCAGTTTCGTGGTAATATTTCCGCTCTTGCTCAGAAAATCACCTATATAGTGGACAGACTAGTCCACTGTTTACGTGGTGTGCCTTTCAAATTCCTCTTTTGAACAGACTGTAATATATACCTCATTTCTGGGATATGGCATTCATTAGCATTGTCTGATAGCTTGGAGTTTTAAAGCAAAGACTGCCCCAGAATTCAGGGCAGTGCAGAATGCCTGTAAAGCATTTCAGGATCATGTTCAGATATGACAAGAAATATCAAGGTAGAACAGACCAAGAAGCGGGAAAGTATAAAATGAAAAAACTGGCATTTGGCTTTGGATTCCTCTCCCAACACTATGAATTATGTATGTAGGTGGCTTAAATTTCTCTACCTCCTTTATGCATAGCAGAGCTTTGGTTCATTGTTACAGAACTATCTTCTGGCTCTCAAGTTGCCCCAAGATAGATTTGTTTGCCTTAGACATCTACAGGAAATTTCCTCTTCTCATTATAGTTTTCATTCCATTTCTTATGAGATGTATGCTTTCATCAAGGAAAATATTACTTGCCTTTTCTCCAGTGGGGAGTTTTGATCAATAGAAAGGACTGCTGCCAGTTCTGACAATTATCATATTAGGATCTTTTCCACCCCTTAACTGAGGAGTCTGAGGATAGATCCTCTTCCTTGTCTTCAAAGCTGTTGATTCAGCATGCTGGCACATTAATCTTTGTCAGTCTCAGATCACGCCATGGCAATGGATTCTAGATAGCTGTTGTCACTAAAGTATGTCAATTTTTTCCATTAAAAAAGGTTCCTTATTAATATTAATACAGAATGATCTCTACAAATTTAGTCAAGGTGCAGCTGGTTCCCATCTCTGCAGTTTGTCCTCAGTAGGACTAAAATTTAGTGCTCAGGCCTCCTATAACATTTGAACCTCTGTGGATTTCATTGTTAGCGTATACATCATTAATTATTATCCCTGGCAGAATCACAGAATGGTTGAGGTTGGAAGGTAACTCTGGAGGTCATCATTCTGTTCAAGCAGGGTCACCTAGAACAGGTTGCCCAGGACCATGTCCAGACAGCTTTTGAATATCTCCAAGGACAGAGACTCTACAACCTTCCTGGGCAACCTGTAACAGGCCTCAGTCACCTGCACGGCAAAAAAATGTTTCCTTATGTTCAAACAGAACCTCCTGTGTTTCAGGTTTTCTCTATTACCTCTTCTGTCACTGGACACCACCGAGCCTGGCTCAGACTTCTTTACACCCGTCCCTTCAGGTATTTGTACACATTGGTGTGATCCCCTGTGAGCCTTCTCTTGTCTAGGCTAAACAGTCCCAGCTCTTTCAGCCTTTCCTCACAGGAGAGATGCTTCAGTCTTTTGATCATCTTAGTGACTCTCTCCAGTAGCTCTGTATCTATCTTGTACTGGGGAGCCCAGAACTGGACAGAGTACTCCAGGTGTGGCCTCACCAGTGGTGAATAGAAAGGAAGGTCACCTCCCTCAACCTGCTGGCAACATTCCTCCTAGTGCAGCCCAGGATACTGTCAGCTTTTTTGCTGCAAGGACATGTTGCTGGCGCATGTTCAAATACGACAGAATATGTTCAACTGTAGTGACTATTCAAATGTGAGAGAGACATTCCTTTTTTCTCAAAACAGTGAGTGATCAATTGTGATTGAGCCCCTATTTTGGTGCTCTTCTCTGGCAGGTTACCGTGCCAAAGTTCTCCCCATTGTGGCTTTTGAATTTCACCACCTGTCTTTCCAAAGAAAAATATTTTGGGAGTCAAAGCTATACTTCACATCCTTGATGAAAGGGAACTCTATGTTAATAGTACCAGGTCCATCCAATAGTCTTGAGGTTTATTCATGTCAGTAAGTGACCAATCCAAAGGAAATGCCATATCCACACAAATACCAGGGGATAATAGGCTGTGTCAGAGCCTTTTTCAAGATTGCTGATGTCAAGCCTTTTTCAGTAATCAGACCTATAGCTATCAGTGACTTTTCTGGGAACTGTTTTCATTCCCAGAAATTTCTGAGCTGCATCTTAAGCTCTGTGTGTACCTTTGTGGTTGCGCTATGTCATTGCCGAGTTATCCACTCTTAGTGTCAATTGCAGTTACTGGAAAACTCCTGTAGATACTGTTTGAGTAAAGGATTCCAAAACCATCTCTAAGTAAATCTGAATATTTAGTCTTCTTGTTCAGAATAAGTCTGTGAATGTTCATCTGGATTGCTTCTGAAAATGGAAAGATTAGAAATTGTTTTTAGATATGTATTTCATATGTATATTCTCTTACTGACTTGCTTCTCCTCTCCGTTATACTGTTAGTATACCTGATGTGCTGGATGTAAATGACATTGGGCATGCTCTACTTTGTACGTCCATGTACTAAGTATGAAGAAAGATAAAAAGTGAGTGTTCCTATTATGGACATAACAAAGAGTTTTCAGGCCCAATTGGTAGGACATACATACACTTACTGTGCGCTCACATCCCATCTCAGGATCTCTGATTACTTCTAAATACCCTGTCATTGCATCGCTGTAACACCGGTGCATTCTGATATGGCTAATAAATAATAAATCACTGTTTTATTTCAGTTTGGGGTTTTTTTTGTGTCTTTAAAATCTTTCCACCATAGCAAGCATGACAATGGTGCATTTGGATAAAATATAGAATATAGAAAAAACAAATTCAAGCAGTAAAACCTTTAACATTTGCCCACAAATAAAAAACACTCAAATTTACTCTCCAAAAAAAGGAGATGAGCCGGAGATTCAGTGAGATCTGGTAGTGCTTTAGCTAGTGCTAATGCTATTGTATGGAAAAGCATTCTGTTCAGATTTTTCAGTAACAGTGAGCAGTATAAAATACTAAGAAAAGTAGCTTGTTAAGAGAGAGAGTTTGTTTTTCAGTACTGTAAATTTTATTTGAGCAAAAGTCCATTCACAAATAATTTTGTGTCACAGAAATCTGCAAAATCAGGTTCACAGACATCTGAGGTAGAATTTAAATGATCTAAACATAGACATCTAATGCTGTTGGAGGTGCCTTAGGGTATCCAAGACATCTGTATGGGGCAGATATGATGCAGATCAAATGTGAGCATCAACTGGAACATCAGCTGGAGGCCAAGTGGGATATCCTAGGGCATCTCTCACTGTGCAACTGAATTGACCTTCTAGGGTGTGATCCAGTTTCAGATTAAAACACCTAAGTGTAGATGTCCGCATGTAAACTGGCTGACTCTGCTGAACAGCTATGTTCCACTGATGGTATTGACTAGATTTTCACTGCCTTCAATAGGAGTTTAGAAATTTTACACATATGCAGGCTTGTTAACTAGGAGTTGTATTACATCCCTACTATATTTTCTTATATAGTTATTAATTTTTTTTAGTAGAACTGACAGCATTTATGTTGTTGTCTTGAATAATAAAAAAAAATAATTATGGTAGTTTTTGTTCTTGCTCATTCAATGTTTTTTATGTGTAGATGAAATAGAGGGGAAAAATAAATACTTCTTTTCTAAATGTATTCTTTTCAAAAGGATTCATTGGTATTTTAATTTGCATTTTAAATGTCACAATATTTTTTTTCTAGACAGAAAAAGGGAGTGCACTACATGAAGCAGCCCTATTTGGAAAGGTGGAGGTAGTACGCATTTTGCTTGAAACAGGTAAATCTAATTTACAGGAAGCACTGAACAAATATCCTTAATATTCCTAATCTGGTGTATGCCTCCTCAAGTTTCGTTTATACAAATTATTGTTATCTGTCTCAGCCTTTGCAAATCTAATCACATGTACCTCTCCTTAAAACAGTGTCCTTTTAGAGTAAGAAATTACTATACACAGAGAACAAAAGGTATGTTTTCACTAAGACTCAGAAATTCCATATATTACTCAGTGTATACCACTGTATTCTGAGAATAAATGTATTCTGAGAACAAAATGGCTACATAAAATTTTGTTATTCATTCTGAAAGATAGCCAAGAATATTCTTTGATCTAGAGGCTAAAAGACTCATGTTCACATTTATTTCCTTCATTTAGCTATTCCTAACAAACACACCATCCTGCTTGCTCCCTCTTTTCCTGGATAAACTTTGAGTGCCTGTGAAGAAAGGGGAAGTCATTGTGTCTCCAAGAATTGCATTTGTGCTGAAAGGACAGGAGAACAGGGATATAGAGTCCCAACAAACGCATCTACTACATAATAAGAGTTTCAGAATTGTTGCAGCTAAATTACTCATCTAAACAACTGTCTTAGATAAATGAGAAGACCAATGAAAATGAAAATATGTAGAAATTACTTCTCTGAGATAGGTGAACTTCCATTACACTGAGGGATCTCATTGATCTTTATTATCAGTGCTTGTGGGGTTATATATTGCAAAAGAAGGTATGTCCTACTCACAGCTCCTCATCTGAATCTCAGCTAGTGCATACCAGATCTGAGATCTGTTTTCAGAAAAAAAGGTCCTTCCTTTTTTTCTGCTTCAAAAAAGACTCAGAAGATGTTATAAGTAGCTACTGCAAAGGAAGGGTGTAAGTTGGTATCTCTGGCCTCTGAAAATCAGCTGCCACTGCTAATTAGCCCAGCAATATTTTGGCTTTATTTTCAGTGAGAAAACAAATATCTCTTTCTCACAAAACAAATTAGGAAACTCTCCATCAGGTCAGGAAATGACAAGAACTGCAGACTTTTCTGGTGAGTGGAGAAATCCTTCCATGCTTCCAGATGTCCTTATAAATCCTACTTCCTCTGATTTCCTCTATTCAGTGTCCCGAGAAGAATCTCATTCCTTAGGACCTTTCATGCCTTTACTTTTTATGAAAGTATATGTAAACTAAAAAACAACTTCAGTCTTCTACCATAAGGGAAACATTTCCAAAGTAGCCCCTACAAGACAAAGGTGTAGAGTCATGCAATATCATGTACAACAGGTTCTCTGAGACCTATCCAGGATAAGCCTCAAACTTATTTATGGTTATGTTCAAGCCAAACAATTACTTTGTCAACAGTCTCAACAGGCTGTGAGGAAATGCTCTGGCTATTCACACAGCCCTTATACTACATATGGGTATTTCAGTCTACTCAGAGCATGAATTTCGAACATGTCGCCATGAAGTACAAAACTTTTAAGCTTAATAACTTTGTCAGTATTGCTCCCAAAACACATACTGGTACTACGGACTAGAAAATCCCCAATGAATCAGAGCAGCTAGGGAGAATTAGAAACCAGGAATGCAGGAAAAACATTCAGAGAAGTTCTTGATTTTATAAAATGTTATTTTCAGGATGGATGTTTCTTAGGAACAGTCTGTTAAAATAATCCCAAGTTTGGTTTAAGAAGCTTACTTCATATCCCCATGAGTTACAGAAACATAAAAACAATTCATGTCAGCATGTGAATTTTAGGCTACTCAAGCTTTAAACAGAAATGGATGCTGTACTTCAACTATAACACAGCTGTTAATCTGCTACAGTTGTAAAACCGCTTGCATTCAATTTGCCAGATAATTGAGTCTGATATGCCACATTTATAATCAGAAGTACTTGGGGTTAAAAATTCCACAACAGATCATTTTCTTTTTCAGGAATTGATACCAACATAAAGGACAGTTTGGGTAGAACGGTTTTAGATATTCTTAAAGAACATCCATCTCAGCAGTCACTCCAAATTGCGGCTCTACTTCAAGGTAAGTCATATTCAGTTATACATTTGTTAGAGACAAATCAGAATAGCATGGAGGAATATTAAGCATTATAGTAATTTCTACTCTTTAAATATTTCATTATACAAAAGAGTAGTCTTTTGAATTAAAAAGACAAAATGCTTGTTTGCTAGATACACAAAAATAAGTGGTTGAATATCTGAATTTCAGAGTAAACCCTTTCTTTTTTCTCACAATAGACATTAGCATGGTGTGTCACTTACAGTTATTCTTTGTACATTCTTCATTACAAAATAACATATTGTAATATTTCACTGCAGTTCCATTAAATTGTGATGGTAAACTATAATTGAAATGCTCGATTCATTCATAAATAACAACTATGACTGAAAGATGATGACAAATTTTCAAAACATTTCATTACATTTTTCTCATTTTCCTTAAATTTAAAAAGAAATAAAACCAGGCAGTAACTCTTGTCATTATAGCAGAAATAATATAATTCTGTTGTACATACATTTGTTCTCATTCCTCATCTTACTTTCATGGTCAAAGACTGATGGAACTCCATTGTTTATTTCAATTTTTTACTCTAGAAGATGGCAGTAAAGTGATGAAATATGAGCTAGTACATAACTCAGTGTTAAACATCATTCCTTCTCTTCTATGGAATTTGTTCCCTGCATTTTCAGAGTAGTCTTTCATTGACTGTGTTTGACAGAGTTCCCTGCAGGTATCATTGCTGCATTTCCACCTGTATTGATTATTCCCATCTTTAAATAAGCCATTTTAATCAGTTCAGTGTTGGTTCTACATATGAACTAGCTCATGCTTCAGTCTCCTGCATAACTGTATTTCATAAGAACATTTCCTAGAGAAAATGAGGTCATGTGGCCACACTGTGTCCTTCAGGTTTTCTTTTCTACATAACTTCCAAACTTGTTAGCCAGCTTCAGTAAAGTTTTCCAATGAGATGATGGACTGAAGATACAAAGCTCCTATAAGTATAACGAAAATTTTGCAGGCTGGAGGAGAGGTATTCTCATAAGGAGCAGGTTCATAGCTGAACTGAATTAACAGCTTGCCTTCAGGTGTCCCTCTCTCCCTCCTTCCTATTTTCTTTTTCCCTTTCCCCCATTCCCCCTCTTCCTCCTCCCCTACTTCCAGCTACAGAGTTCCCGTCCATATTCCCTGCTTACAGGAGACTGCAAAGTGATCTGATTCAGTTCATGAACCAGTAATATATAAAATATATGATTTATTATATTACCTATATTTAATAGCATGTAACAATAATAAAAAATAAGATTTTAACTGTATAAATATACATTTATTTGTTTTAATGAACTTGCCTCCTATGTGATTCAGGTCCCAGAGTTAGCTCTGTCCCAGGTAACTGGTAGAAATGTGCATCAAAATGTGGGGAGGAGGATATGGGTGAGGGAAGTAGGACTTCTCCCTATCAGTGGAAAGGAGTTCCTACTTTGACTCATACTGTATGGTGAAACTTCAGCCTTTATGTCCTCACTGAGCTGCAGCGTGAACATACCACTATGTAGAGGAAAAGAGGGTTAATATCATACTGAAACTTCTTCAGTGGCAAGAAAAGGGTCAGTCAGAGCTTCCACTTTCTTAGACATCCAAATCAATCATCCTTCAGATATTGATCTAAGATTCATTATAATGTCCCATCACCAACTAAAATAATTTTCATTTTATTGTCTCTGCATTGTTCCATTTTCTCCTTAGTGTGATAACCTTGCGGTCTTAACCCCATTGATAAACCAAGTTTCTTCAAAGTACCCTTGCTCTATGAAAAATACAGCACCCAAACCCCTCTCAAGGGTTTGCCATGTTGATGGATCAGTATCTGTCCTTAGTTTTTACCACAAAAAAGAAATACATCAATTTCAAGGCTTTTTGGTGCTTTGACATGCAATCTTTTTCACACGTGTGCCTTGAAAATACAAAGAAGACTGCTTAGTAGTTTCAGCTCATATTAGTATGACGAAACTGTGCTTGTAATGAGCAGCTGTTTATTTTTGCTCTGTCTGCCTCACAGTCAGAAGTGATGTGCAAGGATGAAAAATGTTTACAAAGATGCCATTCTGAGTCTTAAGAAAACCTGGGACCCCCTTCAGGACTCCCTTGTGGAACCCACTGAGATTCTTTTTCATCAGCAAAGGGTTCACTGAGGCTTTAATCATCAATGATAAAATTTGAGCTGTGAGCTGAAGTTGAAAAATAAAATCAGGAGTGGCAGATTTCAGTACTAGCACTGATGATGATACAGTAGACCTACCATCCTCTAAAAAGCCAGCTGAGTATAGTCTTCAAAGAAGTGTGGGCATTTATCCTGTTGTAGCTGAAAAATTAGGGAAGAACTGGGATTTTGGGAAACCTGAATGTACTGTAATTGAGTTCGACTTCAGTGCGTAATGAATTCCATGCAAAGAAGGGCAATTGCTGAGAGAGTTAGTGGCTTCCAAATACATTCCTGTTAAAGCTTCTGTTTTCAGATGATTGTCTAGAGAAGCTTACATGTCTCCTTTATGTAGACTTACAGGAAAAAGAGATTATATTAAGGGTGTCAGACAATTACTGACCAGATTTTGTAAGTTTCTTCCTAATTTTTTTCTTTATGCAGACACAATGGCATTGAATTGATTCTTTCACCTTGTTGCTAGGATAGAGTAAGATTTTATCACCTAGCATTCTCATTTTTACCATTTACCCCTTGCATTGTTATGAGTGTTACTGTACAGTTTATAGTATTAACATAGCATAATGTTTGTCCCTGCCACCAGACATTAGCTTTCAAAACATAAAACAAAGGCTGAAAGATGCATATAAACAGACCGGCAGAAATGGACAAGGAAGTAACGTAACTGGTATTACTGGTGGGCCTGATAGGTAGTGTTCTGTCCTATATGCAGAGGGGTAACAGAGTTGTAAGAAAAGTTTTGAAAGAAAATGAGTTGGTTTTGAGGATATTTATGAGAAACTTCTTTGAAGGAGAAGAAAGTAATTTATGTCTTTAGAAGCAGTTCATGGAGGCAGTAATACTAAATCTGTTCAGCTGATACCAAAACCTACAGGTCTGGTAGCCTCCTGAGAATGAGGCCTCCAGAATTTAAGAATTGTGGATAGAAGTTTCTATTGGTGTTCCCCCTTCTTTTAAGAATATTTACAAAACTACTTTTTACAGATTATAGGTTAAAAAGAAATAAAACCTTTTGCCAGTGAGGTTTTAGAAGTGATCCTAGTGTTTTTGTGATCTTTACATCTTTTCTCACTATCCTGAGAAAATAGTTTTCTACTGCCTGTTAATTATAGATGGAATAATTAGAAATGACAGTTCAAGTTTTAATTCTTTGTCATTCATATATGTCCCATCATTTTCTGTGTCTTGCTCAGGTCTAAGTTGCACTGAACTCAATTAAAAATACTTAGTACAGTTTAGATTCTTTATGTGGTAATGAAGAAATAGCTGTTTAGGCATTATGTATGCAAAGAGCGGAGAACTAGAATACTGTGCTAAGTAAGGCCAGTCTACTGAATGTATTTCATGGATGTAGTGAAACAACAGCATTCAGTGCTGAAGCAGTTAACAGTATTGGCACTTAGGGCTTTATAATTAGGCATTGAAGATAAAAGGGATGTTGCCAAGGCTAGTAGGCCTAAAATTAAACAGACCAGCTGTGTTTTAGTTTTAGCACATGTGAACATGACGCAGGTGCATGCTATACCATCTTTCAACTCTTTCTCCACAGCCCACTATGCTCTCTATTAGAATCTTGCTCTTTTACTATTTCTGGAAGCAGAATTCTTGTTAATATGAAAAAAAGGAGATAGAGGGTAGATAAACAGATGAAAAATGACATGAGCCACAGGAAGGCACAATAAGCTCTGCTGCATAGACAGCATGGAGGGAGATGTAATGGAAAGCTGTTTCCTCTCTCTTCTGCTGAAGCTGCTTAAGAACCTAACATTGTTTGTACATGTTACCGAATTATTCATAAATGGAAAATGCATAAGCAGCTGCAGAACCAGGACTCCTTTCTTCTCCCCTCTGCTTAAATAGCTTTGGTGTCATTAGCACAGGCTTTGTGTATTCTCACTCTCTCTCCCTCTCTTTCTGTGGACAAGTAGATCTTCCACTCCTTTGAGTGCAGGAGGCCAGCCTCACTGGAAGGGTGGAATAAGTTTCCAGTCAAGGATTTAATTACAGCTGTGTGGGATGAAAAGAACTGGGATCTCAATCCCCCTTTGTTGTTTTTTTCTGGAGACTTCTCAGCTCCTTTTATAGGCTATTGTGCAAAAGCTGTAGAGTATTAACTATGTTTATGAATTAATTTAACTGCTGTTGTTTTGGGGACTGAAAGTTTAGCTGCGCCCTTACCTGTCTCAGGATCATAGCAGTACTTGAGTGCTTGTTTCTGTTTATCTTCCCTAAACACATGCGCAAAAGTCTCCTTATGTGCTGATAACTTAAACGTCTACTGATTTCAGGTTTCTCTGGGATTAACTCAAACTTGAGTCATTCAGAATTGTTCTCTGAAATCTAGGAGACTGAAGTCAGCCCAGCCTCCATCTCAGTTCAAGTTTGTCACTTTAGCACACCTGAAGGTAGCAGTTACCAGTTGTTTTTCTGTAAGTGTTGCTGCTGTAAAGAGAAGAGGAATTGGGTCATGAAGCCTCAGGTGGGCTCCTTCCCAGGGGAACAAGTGAGCTGTTTTGGGAGGAGCTCTCTAAGCTCATGGGCTGGGGCAGGACTCAATGGAGCTGCAGGATCCTCAGCCAGATGCTAGGAGAGCCCTGGGGAGGGCAGAGGGTGCTCTGAAGATTGCTGCCCTTCAGGAAGACATGGAGTGAAGGAGGAGTAAGGATCCCCCTGCAGGGACGTGGGCCATGGAGGGGAGTAGTTTCTAAACCAGTTTTATTCCTCCAATCTAGTTACTTGGAGAGTCTTCTGTTTGAAAAGGTGAGTGTTCAGATTTTTATTCTAATCAAATTTGGCTTTTTTAGAGTTTAAAAAGCCTTTTGGTGTCTTTAGGGGAAGTCACTCTAGGGAGGAACTCTATGCGAATCCACCCCATGGCATGGCTGAAGTAGGCCCTCAAAACAAAAGGGAAAAGAGCTCATACCTCATGTGTAAAAATAAATAAATAAATAAATAAAAAAAAAAATTGTTTGGGTTTTTTTTTTCCATTAAAAGGAAAAGTAAAAAGTTCTCTGAGGCTAATGTAGCCATTACTCTAAAAGCTAAGGTTTATAAATAAAGCAAAAATCTTGACCCTCTCACCTCACTGAGGAATTAGGACCTAGAGGAGCTGAAGTTAAAGCAAGCTGTGCTCTAGAGCCTGGGCTTTTACTGCCCCTGGAAGTTCAGCAGTAGCTGCAACTGAGCTGGGCCATGTTCTCTTCATGGCTGACCTTCCCGGCTCTGGCTGCTCTCCGGAGAGGCAGCTGTGTTTCCCTGCTTACATATTAACGCTTTCCCTTCTGCTTGGCTTTGGCCTGACCAGTGTTACAGAAACTGAGAAAGCTGGAGTTCCAGCAGTTTGAACTCTCCAGTGCTCATTACCTTCTTGGGTTCATATTCCCCACTGCTTTTATTTCCACTGCTGTGTGACCACTTTTATGCTATTACTTTTTATGCACATGTCCCCATTTAGATTGAGTGGGGCTATGTTAAAATCAGATAACTGTAGAAAAGAATGCTACTAAGCAGGCAAAGTTTTTGAGAATCTTAGTATTAATCCTCACTGAACTGTAATCTGCCATTTGAGTCAACAGAAGTAAAATACTCCATTCTTCCCAAAGCAGAACGGTGAGGAAACACCTCTGAAGTGTGTATTAACATATGCTTCCTTCACCCCCTACATGCTAGTCATGCCAGCTGTCTTTGAAACATGGGACAGGATGACAGTAGGCTGGTGAAGGAAGCGTTATTAATCTGACAGGTCGTGTCCCAAACAGCCTTTACTCTCCCCTATCATAAGAATGACAGGCTTTTCTCTAAACTCTGTGAGACCACAGCTGGGGAAACTGTTCTGGTCATTAAGTGGTGTAATTGACTAAGCTTGGCTTTGTTCTGAATTAGCTTCCTTTTTTTTGAGGAAAGTGATAGAATCCAGAGCAGTCTCTCAAGTACACTGTAGCCAGAGCAGATGATGGTAACGGTATCATCTTTTTCAATAAGTTTGGGCAGGATTTGAAGATTAATTGCTAGCTAGCTACAGGTGAACAGCATTTGGTTGCTGGTGAAAGCATCCACTGCTTGTGTGTACTTTGTCTTTGGCTCTTGACATAGATCATCTGTTTTGTGTCTGTTTCTTTGATAATATTATGGGTAAGTATAAACTTGCTTAGACTATAAGCCTCTCACAACTAAGTCGATGTCTTTATTTGTCTCGTACATATCTGGTAGAATTTTCAATAGCATAAAACCGAGTTAGGAGTAAGTCCCACAGAAGCCCAAAGTTTTAAGGGTTGCACTCTTATAAGGATGGCACACTGTTGGCCCGTTCTAAACCTCTACACGATACCTTGTGCTGAGCCTTTTGTAGAGGTTTTCTGGAAGGAACTCTGCAGTTTTTAAAGTAAGTATTTATGAGACTTACGTTGAACTTACGATTTCCTCCTCAGAACTAGCCTTCAGCAGGTAAGCGCATTGATCTGAAAGTGGGGCCTGACAAAGAATAAAAATAGAGTATTATTGTAAAACCACAGTCTCGTGAATATTGGACAGTAAGGTTAAAGTCCTTCACAATCTCCCCTGCATTTCCTTTCCTAATAATATCTGTATTGATCCAATAATTTTAACACTCCCACCTGGTAGAACTTCATTTTAGGTTTGCTTTTGGACAGCTGCACTATTATCAAGCAAATATTTTCAGGCATGAATTCCTTTTTTCCTTTTGTTTTTCTTTGAGTCTAGCTTCCTTTTTATTTCTCCTCCATCTTGCACGTTAACTTGACAAATAATGTAGCTGACAGAGCTGGAAAACATTCCAGAGCATTTTGTCATGCTGCTGGTTTTCTCATGGTCCCTTACAGCTCATCTTTGCTTCTTTGCTTTTAGTACTACACAAAAAAATAGAAGTGCCCATTTTCATATGAAGAAACGTATGGCAGATTATCCAGGGGACCACTGCCAGCCATCAAACTTAATATATGACATTTTCAAATCATACATTCTTTTAAAAAAACCCAACAACCTGCAAAGCATTCTGAAACTGCATGCTGTTCTCTGCCATTTCCAATTTCATTTTCTCAGATGTCTATTTTACCACAGATTGTATTTGGGTTTTGGGATTTGTTATTTAATCAGGAATAACAGCAAGCTAAACAAGTGCGTTGGAGACTGTAGAAATTAAATCAGGGAGATTTCACTTCCCAGAAACTCTTTAGTTCTTCAGTGTGATATTGATGAAAGCAAGTTATTGTAGTTTGCTTTTGTGTGTGTGGCAACATGTACTGTTGTGGTTACTATCTGCTATCAGAAAGAACTTATTTAAGCAACTTCAGAAAATCAGGAAAATTCAGATGCAGAATAACTGCCTGAACTGAGAACCAGTCACTCTGCTGGAAAAAAAAGCGCCACTATTGCATAAATTAATTTCTAAATTATTATTTAATATTTGTCCTACAATAACATTTATTAAGGTCTTGGTGTTCCATTGAGCTAGGCTGTGTACAAAAGCACATGAAAATAATATATATATTTACAGAAAAATAATAGTAATGAAATTGAAGTTTAGCACGTTCAGCATTCCATGTTTTTCTGTTTCTATAAACATCGTCACGAAGGTCGGACAAGGGAAGTTTTAAGGAGGAAAAGCACAAAAATTTTAGAACACTGCTTTTTAGACTGCTAGTTTAAACTAAATTTTTGAGATTGTATTCTTTTTTTCTCATGTACTAGCTCTGTGCTGCAAGCAGAATATTTGGTTTTCTTAACAGTATCAATATATCTACTTATTGTGAACATCCTGAATATCTTGACTAAAAACTCTTAACAAATTTAGAACAAAAGAAGACTCTTTCAACAGTAATAATATAATGGAACAGTTATATAGATATTTCAAGGAGACAGGAAAAACACAGGGATAGTTGCAACTCATTACTCCTACAATGAGATTTCTGTGACAGTTTCAGCAGATTAAAGAACTGGCCATTATAGTGTTTTATAATACTTGCAATAAATGATTGCCTTGCAGCAGTGTTTATGAATAATTACAGGGTTGTAATATGAAAAATTGGAAAGGCTTTAATGAAAAATGAAGTAGCAAATATAATTTTGATTGGAATAAACCCTCTTAATTCAGGAGTTTAAGTGTATGTGTATCTTTAAATTGCAGAATATATGGAAACAGGAAATGCAAGTATTTCAGAGGAACGCCCACTGGAATGCACAGAACATCAGTCTTGCGTTTTGTCCCCAGAAGTTCCTCCGTCTCCAAAGGCTAAAAGTAAATACATGTACTCTGTGAATACAGAAGCTGTACTGAAATTCTCTTTAATATTAAAATTATATTGCTAACACATTCATACAAACATACAAAATGAAAAAGAGAGATTAAAAAAGTTATTGATACTGAGAAGTTTTTTCCACCATGAATTACCTATCTTGACTACATACACTGTAATCCATGTCATATAGGAAAGCAAAGAACTGTATTCTCAGAAAGGACAAGTCACTGATGGATTACAATGTATTACATTATTTGATCTTAAATCTCTTTAATTTATCTGACCTTACACATTTCATAATCAAGTAAAACAAAAGGATATTAGATATGTCGAAATACTCTGCAGGCATTGTTCACATTCAAGTTAAAGATTGAGTTTACTTTATCTTTCCCAGTAAGTACCTCTTCCAATTGTGTTACATTTGAATGCATCTTTCAAAGATTGTGTGTGTACTGCTCTTCCATTCATCTTCTAACGTATCTTTCATATACCGTGCTATCACTGTTGTGTGCATGGGCTTTCATCTTATGTTCTGATTCACGTGTTGCACACTACAGCCACTTAAATAGGGCATTTCCTGAGTGTGGTGTCATTCTGCTCTTCCATGACAATCATCCTCCTGTAGAACCAAACCTGACTTCTGCCTTCTGTAATCATCCAAAGTAAATGTAATTGACTGCTGGCAAATAATTAAGCCTCTCTTCTTTGTTTGTTGTGTGGGTTTTTTTGGTTTTGGTTTTTTTTTTTTTAACACCTTTACAGGGAGAGTTTTCATTCATGAGAAAACTAAGCTTACTGCTGCACGCCAGATTATGATCTTCATGGTGATAGTAAAAGAATGCTCTAGTTCCATTTGTGTTTCCCATTGGGGTACTTAACAGACATGGGGTGTATGAAGATAAATAGTTCCTTTGAGATCAGTAGAATCATGAAGTCAACTACCCTATGCAATAGAAATGTCTGTCCTGAAATTAAGTAGTAAATATTTTTAAACTATGTTTTACTTCTTAACGGTAAGGTCATAATCTCACATTCCTTGTTTCCACTTTCAAGGTATAAATACTGTAAAACATGCTAGCTGACTTTTGCTTGTCTATTGTGTAATCTGATTCTAAAGGAAAGAAATTGTACTTGATCGTGCTTCCCATCCGTCTGCCATTCTCTGACAATCTAATTTCAAATAATTTAAATGAAATTTGGAAGAGGGATAGCAGTATCAATTACCTTTCTGTGGCTTTCATGAAAATAGCTAGCTAGATAGAGGAGAGAGACCTTAATTAGTACCTGCACTGAAAGAAATAAGCAAAACTTGTATTTTACGTATTTGTTCTGGCAGCAATCAGCCAGCCAGTTAGCGTACACTTACTCACAGGTCAGTCAGCACCCTTGCAGTTCCAGTTTTGTCACACAGAATTCACTCTTGCCCAGTAAGAAATATTGCAGGCCATATGTGGGAGAACATGGGATTGGGGACATGAACATAATTCTGTAGGAAACAGTAGTCCTGTTTCTTTTTAGAGCACTGTATCATGATTTTAGAATCGTTCTTAATATTTAGGTGTTTTATTCCCAATTTTTATTTATTATAATATTAATCTGGAATAATTACGATTTCCTAATTAAGAAGCAGAATATAAACAAACCTGATTATATCTTTGTTTAATTTACAAGTTTTGTGCAAAGTTACCATTGACTAAAAGTAACAACAATTTTGAATGCAAAATTTCTGTTACTTAGATATTAAAAGGCAATTAGATGCTTTTAATTAACAACTTCTGTTCTTGGCTCTGAAAATTTCAGTCATAACTGGCCATAGTTGTAATTTAAAAAATATTTTAGACTATTTATGTTTACCTAGCATAGCAAACAGTGACTATGAAGAAAAATGACACAAAAAGAGCTCTAGGCCAAGCAGGTATAATCTTATCCAGGGCTTCTTTAGTAACATGAATGTACATATGTGTGTTGTATGTATACTGAGCTTAATATACTCACTCTGTTTTTCGTTTTCAGCATTTTATTCCCAAAGATGGAGTAAAATGGAATTATCTCTGTATTTTATCAAGTCTAAGGACTGTAGTTTCCAACAACATGATTCTTGTAAACCTAGTCAGGAGAAAGGGTTTCTTATTTGCCCCTGGAAAAAATTTGCTTTCACTCACATTTTCATTGCTATTACTGAAGGTAGCTGTGTAACACACATGCAATAGATTATCAGAAGCTAATGCAGTTGTTCATAACAAGTAGCTTTTTACTCTATGGAGGTCTTGCTGCTGCCAGTGGGCTATTTGCAGAAAAGTTAGCACTCAATGTGATTCTAATACTTTTACTACTAGTATTTCTAATAGCGGCCCTCAGTTAGTACAGACATATAAAGCCCATTGTCTTACTATTTTGGTAGATTTCTTAACTAAAGATATCTGATAAATTAAGGAGAAAACATGAAACACAATGCAGAATGCACTAAACATGCCTTTCTGATAGACTGCTGTAGGGAGGCATGTTTTAAACTTGTGGGTTTTGCCCAGTATATCCTTCCACCATTCCATTTGATCCTGGGAAAGTGAACAAGAACTGTTTATAAAACAAAGATACTTTGATGGGATGGATGTGCATTCTTGGAAACTCAGTTCCAACCTTCTTACAGTTTATGGAACCTATGTAATGTATTAATTGATCACAGCAGCAAACACAAACCCGATGCAGAGTATGGAACACTGATTTTTGTATGTTTGTAGAAACTTTCCTTCCCCGGATTAATTTTACATTCTTGGATAGTTGCTTTTTCTAGCCAATTTTCAGGATTAGAAAACAGAGAAAGGGTAAGTATATATTGTAATTCATCCTAATTAAATGCAAGGTATAGGGGAAGGCAGAAGTATGTAGATTACCTCCAGTGATTCCCATTCTGGAATGAGATGCCATTATTTTTGAAGGGAGAATTGTGCATGAAGATCACTGTTTAGATGATAAAGCATGGAATATAACAAATACTCAATAAAATTTAAAGAATGTGCATTTCCTTTTTAGGCATAAATTACCCCTGGTATTCTAATTATTGACTAATGGTGTGTCTGTTTTTAAAGGTGAAGTAGTGACTGGAGAATTATCAAAGCTCTTAGATGAAATCAAATTGTGCCAAGAAAAGGAATACTCTTTTGAAGATCTGTCTCATACAATATCAGACCATTATCTGGACAATTTTAGTAAAGTATCAGAGGAAGAACTTATGACCAGTGGAAGCCAAACCAAGCTTAATGTAGTAAGTAAGATGGGATACAAAGACAATATATTCAGTTACATCTGCTTTATTTATGGCACATTCAAGAAAGAAATAGTACAAGAGTGAGAATAGTACAAGTCTAACACTATAATAGAAAAAAATAACATAGCATGTGCTCCTTACAGGCTTAGAATTTAACGTTCCCCTTATTTTACAAAGATATTGCTTACCACACCTCAGAATGGCTTTTTATGGCACCACTAATATGACCAAAAGTTCCAGTTAGTTGTTCTTTTGAGTGTGGGGCGTGCAAGGAAGGTTCTTTTGAGAAATCAGTTGAAATCAGTATGCTCAGTACTATACCAAAGACTAAATGTTTGCAGAATCTGATCAGAAGTGCCCCCCAAAAGAAGGTAAGCATCTTCAGTTATGATTCTAATCCATTTTATTACTATATAGCTTTCCCAGTAGCCTAATGGTATTAAAGACTGAGTCTCTAATACTGAAAATTGTTGTGGTTGTGATACTTCAGTGATTTCCAACTACAGTTGAAAATATGAATTCATTACTACTAATCCTGTGAATGAAATGCTCTAGGATTCAATTTTTTCTTTACAGTATAACAAGGCTTTTTTTTTTTTCTTTTTAATTGAATTCTCTATCTCAATAAGTAAGTAAATGGGATTGCACAGGGAATAAAGCACAGAACAGAGGGAAAATGCTAAGTGCTAAATTTCAATTAATGTTGTTCTTTCTAAGTTAAGAAAAATTATTCTCTCATATGTGGGGAAAAACATGGCAAGTTAAGGACTTTTATGTTCTAGAGGATTTATTACAACTTATGTAGACAGAATGAGATTTACAAAGATGGTTAGCTGCCCTGAAATGCAGCAGACACTTTTGTAAAGCCCTTCTAGATATTTGAATGATTAGATACATAACCCATACTGAAGTCAGTCTGAACAAGGTACTGACCCCATTTAAGCATTTTATACATCTTTCCAGTGTCTCTCTGTATTTAGGTGCTAACTGCTATTTAAATCTGCTCAGCTGCCCTTTTGCAGAAAATGTAATCCATATAATTCTGTCTACTCAGAGTGAAATTTTTACAGACCTAATTGAAATGCAGTGTGAATAGGAAGTATTCGACACTAAATCTGTAATTTATGTGCAGCAAGCAAATACAAAGGTAAATTAGGCAATACATTTTTTGATATTTCATCTATTTGTATATTGGACTAGGTGTGAAAACAAACCTTCAAAAATGGGGACTGTATAAAGCATGTTGTGGCTCTCCTACTAGTGCACCCAGCTTTCTTTCAAAGCAAACTAGAATCAGGATGATGGGTATGCATTCCCAACATGAAGTCAGGATGCAGGGCAGAGCACGTTTTCCCCTAGAGTAAACCCAACTATGCAGGCCTATATGGAGAGGACTCTTTGCTGTGATGTGGGATTTTCCTGTTTGATCTAAAATATCAATTTCATTTTTTTTAAAGTATTTTAAGGTCACTCAGTCTGTTCAGATGCTACCTGGCTGCCTTGCATCAAAAAAAGGAAGTTGCTCCCAGTTTTGACACACTGTCTTTTAGTTTTGGGAATGTGTTGCCTTCCATTGGTGTGTAGACTCCCTGTATATTTCATGGTTGATATGAAAACCCACACATGCTATAAGGAGCCATCAAAGAGTAATCAGGAAGAAGCACTAAAATGAAGTGATATGTTTAGCTCTGAAAATGGGTGCAAAGGTGAATGGTGCTGCCAAACTACTCTGGGGGCAGGATCAGCAAGCATGGTGATGGAAGAAGTGTGACAGTAAGGTGATGATTGAAGAAACTTAAATGAATATTTATGTATAAGAATGTGGAGATACAGAGAAAGAGAGAAGTGGAGACATATATAGATATGGAGAGTCAGAAATAGATTCCTTGGATATGCGTTAAAGAAGAGAGAGATTCTTACAGCTTTTTCTGACTTTAGTTTTCTCCTCCCTGGGAAGCTTCTGTAAAAATATCAGTAGAGTAAGTGGGGTCTTCTCTGTTTTTCATTGTTTACTGTGCCAGCATCAGCTCTGAAGACATGTGGAAGTCAGGTCCCTGGTAATGCATCAGATGATGCCATTTCCTGGACAAATATTGTTTCCAGAGACGATGACTGGTGCAGGCTTTTCAGCTTCTCCTGTAGTCCACTGATCTGAACAGGTTCCAAAACCCAAGTCATGACACTTCGTGACCTTTGGGGAGATTCTGCAAAGGAACTGGCTGCTAGGAGACATCTGCATTTTTTTTGCATCATGCTATTTTTCAGAGAAATAGGAGGCCAAGACTGGGGAGTTTCTGTTTGGAATAGTAGCTTGTGGGTCAAAAACTTAATAGGCTGGAGCAAGGAGCATCAGGAGCCACCTCCTGAGGCTAGCATGGGCATGTGAAAGAGAAAGCATCAGGAAGCAGAGTGTATTTTAAAGCGTTTTTTTAAACAACTGGCTCTTTTGAAGAGGGCCAAATCACCTGTGATTTCACCTTTGGCTAAATAAGGTTTAGATTGATGCAGGACTGCAGAAAGCAGTGTCTGTCTGTCTAGGATCCACAGCTTGGAATTCTCTCCTGAATCTAAGTGCCAGCCTCTTTTATTTGAAAGTGCAGGGCTCACTGTTTAGTGTAAGGGTAGTGGGGATGCCTGCTTTTTAATGCAGTAACTTAACAGTAAAAGGCTTCATCTGGAAAGTGGAAGTGTGGTTCAGTTCTCTCTATGGCATAAGGGTGGGTTTTAACATCGCATTTATAGTCTCCCAAATAAAAGGGCTGAGCATCAACCTCTTGATCCCCTCCAGTATTCCTTCTGGATTTTACAACCACTGGAAAAATACCAGTGCAATCCTGAAAGCAGGATTTAGGACTCCCTATGCACTAGCAAATTCTGTTTATTTTCTGGCCTCAGATGTCTTGCATTGTTTGTTGCTCAGTGATACAGCACCAGTAGAATACTACATTTTCTTTTGAAGAAGTTGTAGGTTGGAACTCTCTTAGGCCAAGGGCAGAACTGAATCCATTCTTCCATTTGCTGAGTTATTGGACAATTAGTCATCCAACCACTTCGCAAGTTGTTCTGGTATGTTTGGACTAATGGACTTCCTTCTTTTCGTCAAATTTTGCATTGAAAACACTACACATTTTATTACTTAGTAAGTTTCTGTTGCCCAGATGTGTGATGTAAGGCATTAACAAAACCAGAGGTTTATGTGCTTATAGTATTTTAAAGTCAATTAGGAAGCAGAGTTTGCACAGCTCCGAGGTTAGGTGAAACTGAAAAAGAGCTTTCTGGATGAAAATTTTGGGTTTGGTCACCTTAACTCCAAATTACTAGTCAGCTCTGTATTGACTCTTAAGTTTCCTCAGGACATGGAAGAGCTGAATAGGAAAATTGAAGGGCAGGATCTTGAGGACTGGAAGGCATGAACACCTGGGAGAGGGATGGTACAATGGAGCAGTAAGTAAAAGTAAGGAGAATAAGAATAGACACCACAGTGTAAATGCAAATAGGAACAGATCTGGAGACAAGTAAAAACATCCCACAGGACACTTCCATTCCAAAAGCTTAAAGGGAAACTGGGAAATCTTTTGGGTTCTGGAAAAGCAGACTGTGTTAGCTTCCTGAATGAGGAGAGCAATTAATGAAGAGGATGAAAACTGTGAATGCTTGTTTGCTGAATAGCACAAAGTCAGATGAGAATAAGTTAACATGATCTTTTGTTTGAAGAGTACATTAAAAAGAATAAACTAAAGAAAGTCAAGTTAAAGCTATACTGGAAAATTTATAATTCAGTGCTTGATTTTTGCAACTCTGGCTGTGTTTCAATGTACTTTTGATGTGCTGTCATATAAAATATTAATTCCATGTTTTTAGTCTATCTTCACCAGTTATTAAAACAGGTATATTATGAGATATCAGACAACAACCCCCTGTTTATTGTCTCCACAAAACTAAAGGCCAGACTGAACGTAATTTTGCAACTGGAAATGTGGGTTATTATGGTACTTCAGAGAGAGCTCCAAAAAGGCATTTATACAACTAGGCATCTTTTCAGTTGGAATTGCCCATTTTTCTCAAAGGCTTGTACACTGGGTGGGGTTGGTGGTGGATTTATAGATTGTTATACTCCCAGTTCCTTTCTGCCTTTTTTTTCCCATTTTGGTCATTGTGACTTGAATACACTCTTTAGTTCCCCTGTGTATGCAAAGACATGGAAGGCCCTGATAGGTGCTGCACAGGCAAGCTGGGAAAGCTTTATACTTGTGTATTTTTCAGTGCTGACATATTACAGTTTTTCTATGTTAGCTAAATACAAAACTTTCACTCCAAATAACTAGGATTTGATTGTTCAGCAAGTCAGAAAAGGAGCTGTGCTTTAAAACATATTCCAGAAAACATGAGGTGGAAAAAGATGTAGGAAAAATCCTTGATTATATCACAGTTTAATTAACTTAGGCATTTCCTTTTAAAAAACTAAGCTGTATTAAGTATGATTGCTAGCAAAATCAGCTTTTGACAATAACTTACAGTAGTTTCAGGTGTGGGTTTTTTTTTTTTTTAAAGTATAATTTTAAAAATATTTATTTTCCAATAGATGGCAGTCTGGCTCAGTAATTTCAAGAACAAAAGCAGCCATCTTATGTAAGAGTTTTCCAACTCTTTTTTATTGCTATGTTAAAACCATGCATTTTTAACATGGGTGATAGTACAAACTGCTTAAAAACAAACACCTGTAATTCTAATAAGAGGAAAATTTATTGAACATCATGGTATACATTTAAACTACAAACTAAAATATCAGGGCTAAATTTAGAGCTGTATTATAATGCAGAGGTTACACATCAAGTGTGTGTTCAAACAATCTGAATTGTGAATTCAAGAGCAAGTAAGAAAATTTAAATAGGTATAACTTGCAAAGCAGGGATCCAGAAGAATTGTATCGGGATAACGAACAGAAGAATGTCAAAGTGTATATTGTGAGGAATCTTCCTGAGCTCCTGCTTTTTTTA